CCCCCCCCCCCCCCGCCCCCTCCCCCCCCACACCCCCTGAGCTTTGAGCCCTGGCCGGTCCCCCGCTTCCTCCAAGGGCAGCGGAAGACGCCAGCGCCTCGGAGAGGTGGTCATAGGCCAGGACCTGAGACATCTGGGACCCTTCCGAAAGTTGGGGACCCTAACATAGTACCCTAAATAATGGGCATCCTTAACATAAGGACCCTAAACCCTAAACCCTAAACCCCCAAAATACGGTACCCCTAATTTTCGGAAACTCCCATCTGCTTCGATCGGGACGTAAGTGTTGGGAGTTGACGTCAGCTTTATCAGGCGTTTATTAGGGTTTAGGGTTTCGGGTTTTAGGGTTTTAGGGTTTTAGGGTTTAGGGTTTAGGGTTTTAGGGTTTTAGGGTTTAGGGTTTAGGGATTCAGGGTTTGAAGGTTTTTAGGGTTTAGGGTTTAGGATTTTAGGGTTTTAGGGTTTAGGGTTTAGGGTTTAGGGTCTACAAGATTCAGAAGGGCTTTAGGGTTCATAGGCTCTGGAGCTGAGGCTTAGGGCTCTACAGGTCTTGCCTGTAGTCTCCATTGTAGTTCCTTTTTGGGGATACCTTATAAAATTCTTAATATATAATTGGTTAAACCAAAAAAAGGAACTACAATGGAGACTACAGGAAATTAGTGTCTAAGGCGTCGCTTCAGCGTCGAAAGCCAAGGCTGGGGCTTTCGTCGAAGAGGCTTGGCATCAGAATAAGGGTATGCATAGTCTGTTCATACGAGACCTTAAGGGTCCAAGTACCCAGTATTTAAGGACTTTGGGGCCTTTTTGGGTACCTAAAACCATAAATAAGGACTACTTGGGCCCTTAGGAGAGTAATTATCCAAAAAGCCTAGCCCATCTGTCCAGGCCCCCTGTCTTAGACCCGCAAACATCTTGGCGCCGGCACAATTTTGAGAGGCTGGACTCAGAAGCACAGGACCCCGACCCTGCAACCCCTAAAGAGAGCCGTGTGAAAGGCCAAGCTGGACAAAGCTACTTAAAGGATCGTGGGACTTAGTAAGTAGGGTTATACTTAGGGTAACTATACTTATAACCCCAATTAAGGGACTTGTAACCTTACTTACTAAGTCCCATGATCCTCAACCCGAAACCCTAAACCCTAAACCCTAAACCCTAAACCCTAAACCTTACTTACTAAGTCCCATGATCCTCCAAGTAAGCCCGGAAGTCCCACCCCCTAACCTGGGGCAAACTTAAGACTTCAGCGTCACAAGCGGGAAAGCCGCAAGGCCTAGGCCTAGGCTTTGAACCCCGAGCCCGACTCCTGACCCTTCAGCCCCAAAGCCTGCAACCCCAAACCTCAAAATCCTTGTAGACAACCCCTCAAATCCTTGCACAGACATGCCCCAACCCGACACTTCTGAAGCTTGAACTCCAAACCCGGAAACCGCCTTCCTTAGCATAGCCCCACAGGCCGCTAAAAAACGCCGGGCGCCGAGCATACCAAAGGATGGCCGGAAGTACGAAAGAAGTCTTTGCACTTTGCACCTCTGGGCTTTTTCTGGGGGGGAGGGGGGGGGGGGGTCTAAACTTGATTCTCTAAAAAATCCCTGAGCCATGAAGAGCGTGTGTGTGTGTGTGTGGGAGGGGGTAGTATGTAGGGCTGAGCTTGATGGTTTCATGGCTTTGAGGTTTCAGGTTTGTGACTCTGGGGCGGGAGGATGAGTGGCTTAGGACTAAGTGGGTTTAGGGTTTAGGGTTTGGGGGGGATTGGTTGTTTAGCTCCAAATCGTAGACTGGGACTGAGACCCCAAATCCTGAACCCCAATCCTAAACTCGAAACCTGAACCCCCAAGCTCGGCATACTCGCAGCTGTAGTACTCCCCAAAAGACAGAGCCCCTCTACCCTCAAAAGTATGAGGCGGCTGTTAAGGCCCCTACAGTAACTGGCTTTGGAGCATTGTGGACTCTGAATTATCCAACTCCCTGGAAGAAAACATATAGTAAACAAATAGTGCTGGGATTCCCTATGCATTGCTCTTAAGGATTGAGGCTATTGGGTTTCCAACTTTTGGGCTTCTACTGTAAGACCTCTTCATGATGAAGATGACTTGCCACAGTAGGGTTCCCGATATGGACATGTAATGTAGCTGACGCAGGTTGTCTCAGTGCGTGCGTAAGCATTCATGCGTGGTTCTGGGGGGGGGCAACCACCCACTCTCATTTTGCTTGTGTAAGCCCAGAGGCGATCCGTGCCAAGACTGTACAGCATGAACACGTCTTGCAAGCTTCTCCACATGCATGAACCCAAACTGATCGGTAATAAGTGGATACAGGTGTTGGGGAAGCTCCTCTTCATGGAGCTACATCAGAGTGCAAGGCTGGCTTCGAATCGCAGGTTCTTTGCCTTGCATCAAGCAGGGTGCGCCCAGAAATCCAATCACCAAGGAAGCAACTCGCCTTGGAAGCCGGACCGCCCTACCACGTGGCCCACAAAGAGTTTGTGCCCACATCTTTTGCCTTGGCTTTGGTGCAAACGCAAAAGCACTGGATATGCCTGTTTGGATGCTCACTAAAACCAAAAAAGGCTATGCAATGTAGAGACCCAGTTGCTGGGACTCGATCACACGCTTGGCTCTACATACCATCTCAGGTGCTGCTGACACGTCGTCGGGCTCTGCGTTCGCCCCGGCGCAGACGAGAAGCCAGCACAGGAAGCGAGCGTCATCCCGCGTCACGCTGCGTGCGCAGGTGTCCCATGTATCCTGGAGTTTGGCTTCCCCTGCCATAAGGCGAAACCCAGAAATAGCAAGAAAAGATCGGAAGAGGGCCAGACGCCTCGAGAAGGACAGCTTCCGCTCGGCTGGGCTCATGCCCAAGACAGCTCCTTGAAACGGCAAGCTGGCATAGCGCCGCAACGACAGGTGCAACAGCTCCGACATAAACTGCCACGTGTCTGAGCGAGAGTGTTTATCTTCAGCTTCTTTCATGGCGACCGCATTTGACACGTGCTGCACCCAGACTTGCGGATCGATATCAATGAACGCACCTTCCACTGGCACCAGCCCTGCGTTGACCAAGGCGCCGAGCGTATGCTGGCTCGATAGGTCTTGCAGCAACTGTAGGAGCTCCACGGTGGAAGACGTCTTGGCTGCATGGTACACGTTCTTCCAGTTGAGATCCATGAGCCCATTCCTGGATGGCAGTGTAGTCATACCAGCACCCATGACCAGCCTCTCAGCCGAGCTCAGCCGGACGGCTGAGACGGAGCTCTCAGGTTCAACTACCCGGAAGGGCTTACTGCAAGAGCTAACGGATACCTTCAGACCACGAGCGGCCGGGCGGTGTATAATAGCAAACCCTAACCCTCCAGGTACCTACTATATAGGGCCCTGGGGGCTCTAGTGCCCTATATAGTAGGTACCTGGGGGGTTTAGGGAAAGTGATACCGGGCAAGTTGATGGAGTTTGCGTGGACTTTTCTGATCGTGGCCTATCAACAAAAAGCCCCGGAATCGACAACCGGATTCTTTGTTCTTCCACAAGAAAGATTGCACAAAGCCTGAACTACACACCCGTACTTTGCAAACGAAAGCAATGCAATCGAGGTCCACAGCAAGTCTGCCTGATTGTCACTGAGGGCAACATGATGTAGTTGTATGTGTCATATTAATGCGCTGCAAATGACAGTGCGAAAGCCAAAACAATGCCTACCTGTTGTGATGAAAACTCAAGCCCCAAATGGCTTATCACATCCATGAGTATTAAGTCCAGCTGAAACCGTCAAAACATAAAGCCCTGGGCCCTTGACCAACAACCCTTCTACAACAGTTGATGAAGATTCAACGAACCCGACAAAGCAACCAGCCGAAGGAACCGCCCAAAACCCTAAGTAAGCCCTAAACCCTGAAAGCCTCAAATTCCCTACACCCTTAGCCCCTAAACCAGCCCTGGACCCTCATAGGACCCTGTGTAGCAAACCAGAAAGGACCCAGAGCCCTAAACCTAAACCCGAATGCCTCGTCGCCAGGCGACTCGCCACTAGAGGTTAGTCGGCCCAGCACCTACAGTGCGGCCTTACATACTCATTCAGGGTCTGGTAGTCTTGGGGTCCACACAAGTATAGCTGCATGGGCCATGTTATTTGGGGCCTTGATAACTACCTAAACCCTAAACCCTAAACCCTAAACCCTAAACCCTAAACCCTAAACCCTAAACCCTAAACCCTAAACCCTAAACCCTATAAACCCTAAACCCTAAACTTAGCATCCTTGGAGTTCAGGTGGTGGGGCTTCGGTATGTTGGTGCTTGTCTTGCTTGGCCCTGATGGCTCTATGGTTTAGGGTTTAGGGTTTAGGGTTCAGGATCAGCAACTTGGTCCTGCTGTCCGTGCATCACCTTGTGATGAGGCAGGGATGCTAGGAACTGTTAGAAGATTATGTAGGAGGGAGCAAGAGTAACAACCGTTTGCGGCGTTGGGGTTAGGACACTGTGAACCTCAGGCTCAGAGCATCCTGAATACCGCCTATCAAACACAAGCACGATTTCCGCTACTCCGTTCATGAACACATATATCATAGATTTGTACATTCATCCATACATACCTGTCAAGTCATGGAGGCTCAACATTCACTTCAGTGGCAGCAACTGCAATATCACCGACACCACCAGACACAACCACGAACACAACTCAAAAGTCAACAAACAACTGAATGAAAGCATGCACCAAGGCACCTGACACAGACTTTGGAACGAACCTGTGACAAAAACCGCAGCACAGGAACGATAGCAAGCACCGAAGAACAATGAATAATTAGGCGTCATACACGAGCTCCTGCAATAGCTCCGGCAGCAGCATGACCAGAAACTGCAATGGTAAATCGGTAGTAGCAGGCCTTGCACGTTCAGTACCGCCATGCGAAGAACAGCAAAAAGATACTGCGACAAGTAGAGTGGGAATCGCGGCAGAACAAAAGTCGTCATCAGGATTACTCTTCTTGACTGTGCGCTGCACCGTGGCAGGATCTTGCTTACAACAGTCACTTCTGGCACGCTGGCGCCTGAATTGGAAACAACCATCATGCATTCAGAGCTAACTCTCATCTTCATCTGACGAGCCGCGCATGATTGTGGGATACCTTGTTCTCGTGCACGTGGAACGGTGAGATTGCAGCATTTAGAATGCTCGACTTGATCTCCGGAGAGTGCACGTAGCAGGCTCAACATTCGCAACAAGCGACGCCATCACGTCATCTGCAGCATCATCATCATCATCAACATCATCATCAGCGGCATCATCAGCGCCGCCGTGCTGCCACCAATGCCGTGAGACTACCATGAGTAAACTCCTGCTTGTTGTTCATCGGCATCCCTACATCCTCAATCCGTTGGACTTGTTCTAGGGACCCCATTCTTGGATCACAATAACCTCATGAAGCCTCAAGAACTTAGGATTTAGATCTGGGAACTTCTGCCTGAATCCGAACCCTATAGGCCCAAGGCATGACATAGGTCCTTTAACGAAGCCACGATAGAACCCTTTTTCAATTTCGGCTCCCTTAAAGCATCCCATCTCCTTTCAACAAAGGAATCCTTCATGGACCCCTTACGGTTCATATTTTTAGAATCCTATAAGGTAGTCCCAAAAAGGAACCACTATGGGGCCTATGGGTAAAACCTCAACCCTAGTACCTGCTCATCCGAGTGGATTTCCGCCAGCTTCCCCAAGAGCCCACCGGCCGCCATGACCGCAGCACGGCTTTGAGCCTCGGACAGCACCTGCAATGGGTGTGTAAGGCTTACACCTCGGTTTAGGTTTAGGATTTAGGGTTGAGGACTCAGGGGTGTGTACAGTCTACAAGTACGGTTAGGGGTTTGGGGAGGGCTTTGGGATCTGAGGGTTTGGGAGGTGAGTCATTTTCGAGTAGGGCTCCAGGTCAATGGCCAAGCAGCGAACTGCAAGAACCCAGAAGCCTCAACCCGACACTCCAAATCTCACAAACCTTCATAATGTAGGGGCCTGAAAATACTAGGACAGGGTTTTGGGGCCCATTATACTATAATGATGATAAGGAACCCCCCAAAATAG